CACAACACAACATTCCTCAATAAAGGTAAAGAAAAACAGCCATTTCGTTTCAATCCTGCCGCATTTATTATGGCGAGTCGTACAGTATACGCAAGAACTAGATGCGAATAAACCACTGCATTCGAACGATTGAAATTGTAACAATAAATATTTGCTTCTTCTAATGCGAATCAACATTGATACGAAACGTCGTAACAATAGTGGAGACTATTGTGTCCAGTCACAAAAATAACTCAGTCTGATTTTCTAATTAAATAACATTACACAGTTTCTGAACACGAACGAAGTAACAACTCCTACTACAAGTCGTTCGTAAAGCTTATGATTAGAAAAAATGTTTTTATTCTGAACTATTGGAACTCCCAGCTTATTTTCAGATGCAAATCAACATTAATGTCTACGTCTTAACAAAAGTGGAGATCTCATCGATCTCAATCTTATTTCCGAATTTTAACGATTATTTACTGTTGAGGGATCTGAAATAACAAACTCGCACTGTACCATGTTGTCCCAACACTTGAGAAAGCGTAAACGTAAAGTATTATCAATTTCTTCGAGAACGTTAAGGATGATGCTTTCACTCAGTTTTGTTGGGGGTCCAAATCACCCGGGACGACGTATCGAGTCATTTGAAGTACTACCAGCTATCCAGCGAACTCCTCGATGACAAGTTAATTTTGTTTCGTTCCGGTCATTTTGACCACGTTATGGAAAAAAAATATAACAGTTATTGGTATGTTCTAAACATCCGAACACTTTAAGAAACATTGGAAATGCGGTGAAAGTACTTGTTAACAGCCACAGCACAAGGGAAAATGTAAGGCAATGAAAGAAAGCCAGACTGACTGGAGATATTTTCAAAGTTTTCGGAATTAAAGTTGCAGTCGGATCACATGGGTAATATAGTTACAATTTCTCGAGAGTGAGGGCTATTATTCAACCAAAAATGGATTCGTAAGTGCCTATCTGGGCTGTCTGCAATAGAAGAAAAACCCAGAATTCTCTTGACAAAATTAAAGGACAAATTGTGTCATGACGAATTTTTAGTCTCGATTTTTGCATCCGCTTAAAATTTCAAAACTGTCAAATCTCGTCAGCGCTTGATGTGCTCATGAGACAAGCTGGCATAGTTTGCTAATAGACTCAAACTCCAGTTTCAGGATTCATCGTACGTCATTTCAAAGTTTTAAAATCCACGAGTTTCGCGACAA